TGAGTCAACCCTGAGCCGGTGAGATTTGAACCGCTGAACTGCTGATCTAGCAGTAGCCTGCAGTGCTGCATTTAACCACTGCGCCACCTTGGCCCTTAGCAGAGTGATGGCATGGGCGGGTGGTGGTGGTAATGTAGACCTTATTGTGCTCAAAAGAATGTCCTTTTTCTTGTCCTTTTATTCCTGAGCCAGGGATGTCAAATAATGATTAATTTGTGTAAACAGTCAAGAAGTTCAAGGTTTTTTTTAAAAAAAAAAATCTAGAAAAGTTCTTCAGTGCATACAATCTAGTTTGTTGCACGATGGATGGACAGCAAAACACTCAACTTGACTGAACTGTGGTGCAAAATAGGTTGCCACCTTCTATTGGGGTAAAATGCTTATCCATCCTTGCTGTGTTCATATCAGATGGTAGTAGCCAGGGGTTGCTGCTACGGGTTCAGCTGGGTTGAGGAGAACCCATAGCTAACGTTATGGCTGGTTTGGAGAACCTCCAAATCCCATCCCTGGCTGGTTCCTCCCCTCCCGCCCCACCCAGGAGTCTCCACGCGGCCCATTTTGGATGCGAGGTAAGAGCAGAGCCTGTGCGGAAGCTCGGGGAGGGGGGGAAATGGGCCTCCTGGAAGTTCTGGAAGGCTGGAAACAGGCCCGTTTCTGGCATACAGAGGGCCTATGGAGCCCAGATGAGGCAGTTTTCACCCGGCCAGAGGCTCGAGGAAAGCCTCCAGAGCCTGAGGAAGGTGAAAATGGTCCCCCCCCCCCATGGTGCAGGAGGCCGACTAGACCACACCCACCATGGCCAGCCCACCCAGCAACCGGGAAAAGAACCCATTGCTGAAATTTTTGAAGCCCACCCCTGGTAGTAGCTTTCCCGGATTTCCGATAGAAATCTGAGTCTCATCTCAATTTGGGACCTTCTCCATGGATGAAGAATGGAGGAGGTCATGCTAACTTATTTTGCAGATGACTTCTGTAAACGCATCATCCAAGCTTTTGCTTTTCTAATTACCATAACAACAACGATAGAAACATTGAATAGGTTATACTCGTCTGAAGTACTTGGAGCTTAGCCAAGAAGCTGAGAGTTGATCTTGGAAAGTTATATGGCCCATTAAGTGTTTGATTAATGTAGAATTTTATTCTGCGATCCACAGGCTCTCTCGAAATGAACTTGAATGGCTTTTCTCGAGCAGCCAAATCTGCCAAGCGTTGTGACATGAGCACCATAACAGAAAAGGAAGAGAACAAAATTTCCATATTTCAGCAGAAGCGGATCAGAGGCTGGTGGCCTTTCAGCAAAGCTGGAGAACTCACGGTGCGTAAACAAACCAACAACAACAAAACCCCCATCAGGGTTCAAAGGGTGGAAAGCATTTCATGCATGATAAATCAAAGTGGTCTTTGAATTGTTTTCAGGCTTCAGTCTTTTTTTCTCCCCTTAATTTCTTTTTTTTCTGTATCCTCCCAGGTTCAACATTGCAAAAATTGCAATTGATTCATTTGCTGTGGATTCAGTTCCACATGGGCTAGTTATAATGATGTCCTGGATTATGTGTGTATGTATGTATGTATGTACCGTATTTTTGGAGTATAAGACGCAGCTTTTTCCCTCAAAAAAGAGGCTGAAAATTTGGGTGCATCTTATACACTGAATACAGCATTTTTTGCCTCCCGAAACCCCGCCCACTTCACCAAAATGTCCATGCAGAGCCTTTAGGAGGCTTTCAGACTGCTCCTGGGTGTTGGGGAGGGCAGAAATAAGCGAAAAACTGACCTTTTTTGCTCAATTTTGCCCCCCCCCAGCAGCACTTTATAAGTCTCCTAAAGGCTATGCATGCCCCCCCTTTTTTTGACAAAAAACAGGCCATTTTGGGGAAATCTGCAGAGTACATTTTTAAAAAAAATTTGCCTCTTCAAAATCTTGGTGCGTCTTATACTCCGGTGCGTCTTATACTCTGAAAAATATGGTAGGGATGTAGGTATAAAACAATGAAATGAAATGATAAAAAATAAAATAATAATAAAATAAAAAGACAGTCTTAACTGAAAGCATAATCTATCATAAGGCATGTGTCAGGGTTCCAAGTAATACACCCGTAGCAAACAGAACTCCAAGGCTAGAAGGTTCCTCAAAGAAGAAGTTTATTGGATATATCATATTGGCACAGACTAGTGAAAACTGACTCTAAAGTCCCCATAGTTTTCACCTAATTAAAAGTAAAAGTTTTCCCCCTTTCCCAAACCATCCGCCACATAGTCCAATCAGGTGCTGTCCAGTTGCTAGAAAGCCTGTGAGAATGTCCTTGGTTCACAAGGGAAACTATTTTGTTTTGGCTACAAGACCCCAGCTATCTCTATTCCCCACTCCTCCCTATCCCTCAGCACCATTGTGGCAACACAAAAGCCTCCAAAATGGCCTCAGTCAGGCCAGCTTCAGAGTCAACAGCATGTATAAATCTCAAAGGTTCGGTTTAGATTCGCTCTGTTTTAAAAATTCGCTGACTATATTCTCACAGCATCCTAAACTGGCAGTTTTGAGTTACTTTGCGGTGAAGCCAACCAATTGGGTAACAATTCACTTGTCTTGTACAAGTTTGAAAAAAAAAGTTAATTCAGAAAAGAGGTTAATGGGGCTAACCTGTTGTCAGCATTCCAAATATCATGCCAAATTAAATCAGAGTCCAAGGCAGAGCTATCCTTAAAGTTCCTATTTAATAAGCCAGACATGTTGGCAACAAACTGTGGAATCCCAAATCTAAAAGCTTCCTGGGATTCCACCCAGTTGAAAGTTCATGATCTTATCCCGACCCCCATAAATCCATCACATGGTCCAATCTTCTTCGCCCACGCTGGCATCTCCACCCAGCTGGTTCCAGTCAAGTGCAGAGGTGCAGAGACAAAAGATGACCTTGGGCTTCTAGAAAGGAATGACAACAACACATTCCACAATTCTACTCCTTTCTATTCCCCCCTCCCAATTACTACACTAATGAAACAGCATAATGAAATAATAGAGAGTGTGGCAGGCCAAAGATCCTAAAAAGGAATATGACTGCAGGCCTGACACATTGA